AAAAAAACCCTCCCCTCTTCCCTCCCCCCCCCCCACCCCCCCCCAAACCAAAAGAAAACGCCCAAAATCCACAGAAGACAAAAGCTCATGAAAACGATCTTTTATTCCAGGAAGAAGAGAATGCCATTTTGAACAGAGCATAATGTATGATACAGCCATAAAGCTGACAGAAGCCTCTATAAACTCATACTGAGAATATGTGCTGACTGAGCAAGAAGTATTTGCACACACAGGCACACTGCAATACGCTGAACCACACAATAGCTCATTTAAAGCCTTTTCTTTTTTTAATCAGACTCAAATTTCGCTCAGGTACAAGTAATTCAGCATCTGTTAAAATCCTATACTGTAATTAGGGGTTACTAACCTGGTATGGTTGCAAGTTAATTTTAAGATCAATTATTTCATGAGCTGATCGTTAACTATTTAGAATACATCCGTATCAGTGAGATCACTTAGGCTTTCTTCCAGGTTTTGTCTTAACCTAGTTCAGCATTCAGCCACAATAGCTGAACTGAAGGGTCTGAAGATGTTCTAAGAGACTCTGCTGTAGCTTAAAGCACTGATTTAAAAAAAAAAAAAAACAAAAAAAAAAAAACAACCAAAAAACCACCACACAAACGAAACCCAGAGAAACACACATCCCCGAAACCAAGTTTAATTCTGGGTGGAACCTGACAGTTTTGCAGTTGAGATGCAAGCTCAAATTGTGCCGATCCTCCACAATTTTTCGAGAAAGAGAAGCTCACCTACAAACGGCCTCTACGGAGAAACGCAAATAACTCACCAAAACACGGGCAAGTGCTCAAAGATCAGCTAAAAGATCGCTAGCCGGGAGAGGGCTGTGTGATTCGCACCGAGCCTCCCCGGGGACCAGCAGCACGGTGTGACTGAACCTACAATACACAAACCGCTCTATCAAGGTCATCTTGTTTCGGCCCTGTTTGTTTAAAGGTAACCACTCGCCGGGGGACTGGAGTAGGGAATATTCACGCCGGGTGACAGAGCGGTAGACAGAGATTGCTCGAGTCCTGCTCCATGTCCAGCAGTTTTGCACGGGATGGGAGAGGACTGACCGTCAGCACAGCTCTCGGTCCCAGCCAACA